TGATTTTATTTTATTTTTTCTAAACTATTATGGTTGTTGCGTGCTGACTTGGTCGGGTAAGAGAGAAGAAGGAATATTTAGAAAGAAAGTGGGCGATTTGTCATTAAGGGCTTGATTGGTTCTCCCGCTAGCACCCTCCTAGCGGTTGTTAGCGGTCGATTGCGGTTGCTAGCGGTTGGTACCAATCATAGAAACCGCTCCATACCGCTTCAAACCGCTCGAAATCGCTGAATTTCAAAAGCTCTTTCCCGCAAGCGTTTGCGGTTGCGGACGGTAGCGGTTGGATTTAAAAAAAAAAAAAAAAAAAAGAAAAAAAAAAAAAACAAACCTTTACTTATAATTATTATAAAATATATTTATCCTATATGTATCTTTCATCTTTGTATCACGTTCTCATCATAAACCCTAATCAATATTCTAAAATATTATTTTTTCAATGTCTTCCACCCAAACTGATGAAAATCAAAAACCAAACGTAAGTATCATATATTATTTTATTCATTCATCACCTCATGTGTAACTCTTTGAATATTTTTCATAGCATCTTTTTTTTCTTTTCATTATGTATTGATTTGCTTTTTGATTGAATATATGTTTCGATTTATTTTCTCGAATAGAAAATCACTTGCTTTTTGATTGAATTCAACGTTATTTATAGTTTGCCTCATTACTTGATGCAATTTTTGGTGTTAACCCAGTATAAAATACTATCTTATTACAAAATTTCTTTATTTTTGAATAACTATTTAGTACTTTATTTATAGTTTTAATTATTAAGCATGTTCAATTTTTCTAATATTATCATAATAATATATTAGTATTTTTATTTCTTTTTTGTAATATTTTTTATTTTTTTTTGTCATTTTTTTATTTAACTGCTATCGCAACCGCTGATTTACCAGTCATAAAACTCCCGCAAACGCATCCATTTTCAAACGCTAAACCAGTCGTTCAAAACGCTTGGTAACGCTTGAAACAGCAACCGCCCGCTTCCGCAAACTCCCGCAACCGCAACCGCAACCGCTGCGTTTAAACCAGTCAGACCCTAAATTAATCCGTGTTTCTCTCCCATTGATTCTTTATTTAGATGATTTTATGGAGAGCACGTAGTTCCCTTTTATGTAACAAAACGTGTTTGATGATCTTTTCCAAAAAGTTATATCAATAAAAAGAGTAGAGAGACGCGTATTAAAAACATTAAATCTTATTGCAATGAGCCAATGACTATATATATCCAGAGAAAAAGCTTTTACATATATGATCGGTCCGAGTCATGTTCAGGCTAGAGACTCTCGGTTCTCACAACCGGATCGGAGAGAAAATGCTTAGACTTCATTTTCAAAATAGCACTAGCTGGATTAAGTCCTTTAGGACAAGTGGCCGTACAGTTCTTGATTGCTCTGCATCTATATACTTTGGTTTGATTCTCAGTTATCGCCTGAAGTCTCTCTTCTCCAAACTCATCACGGCTGCGTTAAACCAAAAAAACTAAACAATGAACACCAAGTTTTTGAAAGACTGGTATTTAAATCTCAACTTTTTTTACCTATCACTGATCCAACGATACGCTTGTAGTAAAGCCGCGGGTCCTGGAAACTCCTCAGGGTTCCACCAATAAGAAGGACATGATGTGGTACAACACGCGCACAATATGCATTCGTATAGCCCGTCTAGTTTCTTCCGGTCTTTTGGTGATTGCCGGTGTTCACGTCCGTCTTTTGGAGGCTTCCTCGTCTTTAACCATGGCTCCATTGCTCTTCAATTCCAAAGACAGTACATCACAATATAGTCCCACATGAATCTGACTCAAACATTTTACGATTTCGCAAAGAGTTATGCTATGTTGCAAGTATTCACTTAAATAAAATTTTATTAGCCTAATTGAATCCCCCATTCCATATTGCACTTTTTTTAGTAACATTTTTCCACAGTTTTGCATGAAACCATCGTATATACTTGTTCGAAGCAATAATATTGAAAGTGTACAATATCAATATGGGATTAAAGAAGGTAACTAGCTTCACTTACTTGTATTGTTGATAAAAATTAGTGAGGTCGACGACTAGGTCTTTGATGACG